TAAAATGACAATTCCTCACATACAACAACATATCTAAAATAATAAGTTAACTATAATATCTTAAAAAGTTAAAGTCATAATTTTATAAATAGAAGTAAAATATGATATTTTAATATTATAGTTTAGTTAATTTATTATTAGAATTTAGTTTTTACATTGATTTAACATTATTAACAAATTTATAATAATTATTAGAAATAAATTGAAAAGTCATGGAGGTTTTAAATGCATGTGGAGCAAGTAAAAATGTCTATTCTGAAGGTATAAAGTTTATACCTTGATGTGTTTCCATTTACATCTCCATAGATGAGTTTTTATGAGATTTTTGTCCCAAAGCTTGGACCTTTGTGAGTATGGAGCACTCCAGAGCATTATAGATGTCCTTTCATGCATTTTAGGTCTTGTAGATTCATAAAAAATGGTTGCTTGATCATTTCCCTTGGCTCGTGCATGAGTTAAGTGACTTAGAGTGTGATGGAAGTTAGAGTGTTGTGTATTGGGACTATCTAGCCATGCAAAGGCTTAAATTCGGTGACTTTATGGGTTAAGACATGTCATTATGGTCAGATCTGAAGTTGGGATAAGTGTCTTAACAGTTTAAGACATAAAAGTTGATAAATATGGATCAGGTAGAGTATGTCGGGCGTACTCCTGGCTACGCCCCACGTAGCCAGGCTCGTTCCCGATTGGTCGCTGATTGAGTTGTACGCCCCGGGTCGCCCAGCGTACGCGCTGGGAAGTTGACTTTTGATTTTTTCTTAAATTTAAGGATTTGGACCATTAAATGAGCAAAATGGTCTTTTTACCCTTAAAGGGCTTAGTTGTGGAATTTGGACTCGTAAGATGAGTTAAGAACCTTAATTATTAATTAGGGTTTATTATTGTGTTATTAGATTAGGTGATATCCTGCGCGTTGCGCAGTTATAATTAAAATATTGATAAATATATGTTATTAAAATAAATATATACTTGTTAGTAAGTTTAAATTAATAATAGATCTCATATTATTCTATTTAAAATCGCATCATTTCAATGGCCGCTACCTGTGAAAATAAAAATAAACTCAGTTTGGATAGACATATTTTATTTTTAATGATTTTTAAAACTATCTTTTGATATATGTTTGATATTTAATATTTTAATTTATTTTAGACTATCTATTTTATGGAAAATATTATTATTATAAAAAGTAATTTTTAACTAACTTAAAAAAAAGATTTTGAATATATTATAAAAATTATGTTTTGAATTTAATCATATTTAGATTAACAAATTAAGTATATTATATAGAATAAAGAATTAATATTGAAATTACAATAATATTGGATTTAATGTATTAATTTAAAAAGAAGTTGAAAAGTTGGGGGTTTCAAATAAATGTGGTTGAAGAAAAATGTCTATTTTATGAGTATACTAGGCGAATGCTCGCGCGTTGCGTAGAAACACCTATAGTGTTTACAAATATATGTTTTTTTAAATATAACAATTAGTTGTTAAATTTGTATACTAAATTGATATAATATATTGATTATTTTGAATTATATGATAATATATACATCTATTATAGCTGCATAATCCCAATCGTTAGAATTACTTCTACCCGCGAGTTACACATTAATAAAATTAAATATAATATATGGTTTAATGTTATTTATAGTTGTTGTTATTGTTAATTAATTTTTTTTTTATTTGCTTAATTTTTTAATTTCTATCATTATATTTATTTAAAACATCAAACATTGTTTTTTGATTTTAAAGGTAACAATATAATCATTTATATAAAGTTATTTTTAAGTATTTTTATTGTAAGTTATTTTAAGCTACTTATTTGAAAACTTTTAACGGTTATAAAAATATCTTTAGGAAATATTTTAGTTAAATTGAGATTACAATTTAGTTTTTGCATTTATCACTATAATTTATCACTTTTAACTATTTACAAAATATTCTTTGGTTTTATAAGTGGAACTGAAATTTATATTTAAGTTGACATTGTAATGTTATATTTAAATTAACAATTAAAGTCTTTTGTCTAAACTGTTCTATAGTTGTAGCTTTAAACTGATAATGGTTTACATATAACAACATATTAAATCTAATAAATTAAGTATAATATGTTAAAAGTTAAAGACATAACTTTATAAGTAGAAGTAAAGATATTATTTTAAAATTGAAATTTAGTTTATTTATGATTACACTTTAGGTTTGATATTTATTTAACCTTGTTAACCAACTTATAATCATTATTTGAAAGACACTATAATTAATCACTTTTAACTATTTATAAAATATTATTTGGGTTGTTTAAGTTAAACTAAAATTTATATTTAAGTTGAACATGTAATGTTATATTTAAATTAATAATTTAAGTATTTTATACAAATTGTTCCAAAATTGTATCTTTAAAATGATAATTGTTTACATCCAACAATATATTAAAATTAATAAAGTAAGTATAATATGTTAAAAGTTAAAAAAAATAACTTTATAAGTAGAAATAAATATATTATTTTAATATTGAAATTTAGTTTATATATGATCACACTTTACGTTTGATATTTATTTAACCTTATTAACCAACTTATAATTATTATTAAGAAGAAATTGAAAAGTCATGGGAATTTCAAATAAATATGGTGAAAAGAAAAATGCATGGGAGTTTCAAATGAATGTGGTGAAAGAAAAAATGTTTCATTTATAAGTATATATAGATATAGATATAGATATAGATATAGATATACAACAATATATTAGAAATATTTACAAATATATGTTTTTTAAATATATCAATGACATTGTTGTTATCTTTTATATAATAAATATTATAATAAGTAGTATAAACATTATTTGTTTTGAATTATATGATAATATAGACATCTTTTTAAAATTCTATAATCCCAATTGTCTCAATGGCCTCTACCTGCGTGTTACACATGAATAAAATTAAATATAATATAGAGTTTTATGATATTTATAGTTTTTGTTATCATTAATTAATTTTAAAAGGTTTATTTGCTTAAGATTTTAATTTCTATCATTGCAATTATTTAAAACATCAAACATTGTTTTTGTTTTTAAAGGTGACTATATAAATTTTATATATAATGTTTACTTTTAACTATTGTTGTTGTAAGTTATTTAAAATAACGTATTTGAAAACTCTTAATTATCTTAATTTGGTTTCAAAAATTTAAGATAAATATTGTTAGTTTCTTTGATTGTAATTATTTAAAACAACAAACATTTTTTTGTTTTTAAAGATAACATTATAACTTTTTATATAATATTACTTTTAACTATTTTTATTGTAAGTTATTTTTAAGCTATTTATTTGAAAATTCTTAATGATTATAAAAATAGTTTCATGGTTTTTTTTTGTTAATTTAGGATTACAATTTAGGTTTAACACTATGATTTATAACTTTTAACTATTTATAAATAAATCTCTCCATTTTTTCAAGTTTAACTAAAATTTTGATTTAAGTTAATCGTTTAAGATTATATTGAAATTAATAATTTAACTATTTTGCATAAAATCATAAATTATACAAAAGTTGTGACTTTAAAATGACAATTGCTCACATACGACAACATATCTAAACTAATAAGTTAACTACAATATGTTAAAAAGTTAGTGTCACAAATTTATAAATAGAAGTAAAATATTATATTTTAATATTATGGTTTAGTTAATTTATGATTAGAATTTAGTTTTTGCATTAATTTAACATTATTAACCAATTTATAACAATTATTAAAAGAAATTGAAAAGTTATGAAGGTTTCAAATACATATGATGCAAGTAAAAATGTCTCTTTTATAACTCTATATAAATATAGATATAGACTATGGCCAATTTGACACACCTCGTAATTTATTTCATTAACATTCGGGTTTTTAAATATTGACTATTGAGGGAAACATATAATATGTAGTTGTTATTAATGGCCCATTTGAAGATGATGAAGCCAAATTTGTGCTTTATTGGCACAATAAGTTGAAGACAAAACAGAATTAGTAGGACAACTAGTTCCAATACAACACCTCCCACTCGTCTTTTTGATGTTGCATGAGATCCTTAAAGTAACAGTAGCTAGGTTGGAAAATTTTGTGACTTTACAACTCATATCAGATGCAATTTATTTGATGGATAATTTTAGGATTTGCATGTATAAACATAATATAATGTTATGATTGGAATGGTTCCTTTTCCTACAACTAATTGCAACTGATTCATAAACAGTTTTTATCTTTTTGTTGCATAGACATGGAGTTTAATTTGTCAGTTGCACTGGAGTACTAGGGATTAGATAGGTTATTTGGTTCTAGAACCTAAAACATATTGTTATTTCTGTCTCTAGGGGTTGTTTGAGAGTACAAGCATGCAGACAGGGGGCTGTTTGAAAGTGGTTCTTATTCCACAGTCCACACATTATATATATATATATATATAATGTGTGGACTGTGGAATAAGAACCACTTTCAAACAGCCCCCTGTCTGCATGCTTGTACTCTTAAACAACCCCCAGAGACAGAAATAACACTAAAAACTTAAACAAAGAATTGAACTGAAGACAAATTGTGGTCCTAGATCCATACTAAAACGCTGGATTTAGTATGATATTTAATTTCACATACAACAAATTAATAAACTATATATTAACACTAGTAATCAAAGTAAATCAGGTCTGATTTATTTAGAGACATCTTTTAGCATCAATCATCACATAAACAGTTGATCTTTATTCTAATAAAAGCAAACCCTGAAAATTACTGAGCAGCAATTAAAACAATTGAGGAGTCACCTAAATAGCAAATTTATGTAGAAATGGGTTGTAGATGCCAACAAAGATGCTTGTGAAAGCTTGCTCATAAGTGTCCCTTTAAATTCTGATAAAAACCGAATACCGATTTAAACGAAACTTATCAAGAACTGAGAACTGAACCGATAAGCATATATAATCAGTTAATTAACTTTGACACGTTTTTGGCAACAACAGAATGGAAAGCATCCTTGAGAGGTATGATCGACTCTCATATGCAGAAAGGCAACTTAATGCAGGGACCGATCATCAAACACGAGTACACCACCATCACCATGCATGCTTGTTTTTGCTTTTGCTTTAGCTTTTATATATGTTCAATCATTTTTCATTTTTTTTATTTTACCAACTTTATATATGGTCTACTACTTTTAGGAAAACTGGAGTTTGGAGCATTCAAAACAGAAGGCTAGAATTGAGGTCTTGGAGAAAAACAAAAGGTATCCATCTATCTATTTAATTAACCAAAATGCATGCTGTTCTATTCATTATTCAGTCAAAGATACAATAAATGAATGATGTGATGACATATCAGGCACTTAATGGGAGAAGACCTTGATTCCTTGAGTCTCAAGGAACTTCAGAATTGTGAACAGCAACTCGATACAGCTCTTAGACGCCTTAGGTTAAGAAAGGTACCCAAAAAAAAACATTAATTCGCCTTCCAAATTTTCATATATACATGTTTTAATCATGCTCTATTTGATTTGCAGAATCAGTTGATGCTTGAAACCATTTCTTACCTCCAAAAGAAGGTATGTATGTAGGTATTTTATACACCCATTTTTCATGATAATATTATTCTGACCAAGTGAGTCGTCATGTCAATATTGAAAATATAATTTTGATTTTTGAACACATGACAGGACAAGGCATTGCAGGATCAAAATAACGTGCTCTCAAAGGAGGTAACAGTCACCTTAACTACCATTGGCTTGTGGCTTGTATTGTTATTATTAGTATTATTCAATTTACTGAACTAGTAAATCTACATTAAAAAATTAAGCAGGTGAAAGAAAAGGAGAAAGAGCTACTACCCGAACCACAACCACAAGCGCAAACTCATGACAACATAGGCACCTTAAACCACGGGTGGGTTAGACATAGACATATTTTAAGTTGGGTGTTAATAAATTTTAACAATAACATTATGATTTATGCATATATACATGGGCGAAGATAGTAGGGGGGCTACCGGATGCTTTGTCCCCCTCAATCTCCTTTACAACTTCAAAATATAGTATAGATAATAATGATCCTATGACTAATTTGAAGCCCACGTTAGTTTTATGTGATGCTAAGCCCCTCTCAATCCCTTTTAAAATTTCAGATATTATATAAAAAAAATAATGAGTATCGAGGCTATGCCAGTTTGAGTATGACTAAAATTATGGCTTATTTATTTTAATTACAGATTTACCCATATTTATTTTAATTTACTTCAACCCATTTATTTTAACTATCGAATTTCCCCTGTTTATTTTAATTCGTGTCATTAATAGCCTTTTTAACTACGGATTAGCCGGCATAGTAAGTAACTCTTTTATTTTCATTAGTCGATGTGGTTTCAATTAACAAATATACTATGTAATTTTGATTTATACGACTTTTTTCTTTATTATTTTTTCAAAAAAAATCAGTATTGTCCAAGTCAAGCACAGTGTAAGCCCCCCTTATCTTCAAATGTCCGCCCCTTCATATATACATATATATTTGAAATGAAAATGGGTATTATGCAGTGAGATGTATCAGGCACAGGCAGGAGGAGGAGGAGGAGGAGGTAATGTAGACATGGAAGAAACAAGGAGACAAGATCAAGCGTTACCAGTCATGCCTCATTGGATGCTTCAATACATAAAGCAGTAAGTAAACCCCGCAACATATATATATATATATATATATATATATATATATATATATATATATAAGTTATATATATATATATATATATAAACCAAAGGTTTTTGGAGTCTTATGCAAAAAATAGATGTAAAATGGTCAACAACCTTATGTTGTACGTGCATATAAGTTGTTATAATAAATGTATTGATATTGTAGTTTACAATTTCTTTAATTGCTGGAGTCTTGTCGCCTTTAAATGTAATTCATGCATTGTCTCTGTTTCTTTGATTTAGTTTTTTACAAATTTCACTTCATTTATATTTTACCTTCCATTTCCCCAATTTCCTAAACATCATTTATCCAAACAATATATACTTAATGAATGGGAAACAAAATGGCCTTATAATCCTTATGCGATACTTTGCTAGTAAGTGATTCTAATAAATAAATGAATCGTATGCAGTATGCACCAAAACCAATAGCATCAATCAACAATTTGCAATGATGATAATATGTAAAATTGTAAATGGGTAATTCAATTCTAACCTAAACATTAAAAAGAAAAATGTTACATTTGGTATGAATGAATGAATGAATGTTCTTGAATTAATGGCAGCCGAACCTAACTAAAGCTTTCTCCTTGCTTGAATGTCATACATATTCAACAGGTTTCATACTTCCATGAATGAAAGCTCAAAAACTGTAAATAATTTGTGAATTACAAGTTGAAAATGTTGGCACTGTTCTGTTCATTACGTTTGTACTTCTTCACTATTTTAAATGGAAGAATGTCTATCGGTTTTCTAACCCATATATATGAGAGTCAAATGAATAATATTCTCATTGAACACTGCTGCTGTTGGTAATCTTAGCTTATGTAATTACAATTTTTGGAATGAAATTGATTTCATATCAGATGTTGTTGAAGAACATCAACGATAACAAATTACAACAAAGTAACTTACTGTTATACAGACTTATTATCAAACAATAACAATTGGTTCAACTGAAGTACAAAATTTCTATACGTTTGGACTTTGAGTTACCTTCCCTACCATATAATTTTGTTACGCCTGAGATTCCAATTGTTCTGAACCAGAGACGCTAATTCCAGCACGTTTGACGGAATGAAAGAACGGGATGACCATTTTCCGGTAATGAATCGGGCGTGACAGCTCTTCAGCGAGGTCAATTTCGAGGTGGGAGATGCCTATGTCGTTGAGACGAAACCCTAGTTTTTCACCGATTCTCGAAGCGATCTTGGCGTCCCAAAATTTGAGTGACCTGGGAAACGTGGTGAGTTTGGATCGATAATGAGCCATGAATTCTTGTTCAGTGGATGAGGCCATGGCGACGATGGAATCGGTGCCGGAGTTGGTTACCTGAGCACAGATTTTCCGGCAAGATAAAGCTAATCGGAGCAGGTGACGTTGATCGGCGGGACCCATATTTTATCAAGGCATACACGTTCGTAAACAACGTATGCTAAATGGTATCGCCAACGAAATTCAACGATTATGTACTATTAAAAATAAATAAATAATAAGATTTAATGTTGCATGAAAACTTTAAATTATTTATGTATATATTAATTTAGTTTAGATAATTAGATTTAGAAATTCAACGATTATGTACTATTAAAAATAAATAAATAATAAGATTTAATGTTGCATGAAAACTTTAAATTATTTATGTATATATTAATTTAGTTTAGATAATTAGATTTAGATATTGATATCAAAGTTTTCAGCTGAAAGTAAAACGGATTATATGGAACATTGGTGTGTTCAATAAAATTGTTAGTTGAAAATTTGCAACTTTTATTTATATACTAGGCAAACTATATGATTGAATATATATATATATATATATATATATATATATATATATATATATATATATATATATATATATATATATATAAAAGAATTGAGTTATTAAATTTGATATAACAATTCTTATACTAAATTGATATAAGACATATTATTTTGAACATCTATCAAAGCTATATAATCTCAATCGTCTCAATGTTATATATAAACACGGGTTACTCAAACAAAATTAAATATAATATATTGTTTAATGTTATTTATAGTTTTTGTTGTGATTAATGATTTTTAAAAAAGTTAGTTGCTTAACATTTGAATCTTTATCATTTTAATTATTTAAAATATCAAACATTGTTATAGTTTTTAAAGATAATAATATAATTTTTTATATAGTATTACTTTTAAGATTTTTGTTGTTGTAAGTTGTTTTTAAGCTATTTATTTAGAAACACTTAATAATTATAAAAATAATTTTAGAAATATTTTTGGTTAATTTGGGATTACAATTTAGGTTTTGCATTAACATAACAATATATAACTTATGACTATTTAAAAAATAATCTTTGGATTTTTTAAGTTTAGTTGACATTTAAATTTAAGTTAACATTTTAACGTTATATTTGAATTAACAATTTAAGTATTTTATACAAATTATTTAAAAGTTGTGGCTTTAAAATGACAACTATTTACATACAAAAACATATTGAAGTAAAAAGTTAAGTGTAATATGTTAATAATTATATACATAATTTTATAAGTAAAAGTAAAATACTGTATTTTAGTATTGATGTTTAGTTAATTTAGGATTACAATTTAGGAGTTGTACTTATTTAGCAATATTAACCAAATTTATTATCATCATTAAAAAAATTGAAAAGTTATTAGAGTTTCAAATGCATGTGGTGAAAGAAAAAATATCTCGTTTATAGTATAGTATAGAGAGATGGATATAGATTTGTTTGGGCGTAGCTACTCATGCATAAGGTGGGTCCTAGGACCAACCTTTCTTTTTTTAATACAACAAGTATATATAAAAAAAATAAGGAGTCATCTTATTTTTGTCAAAAAGACCTACCTTTTGATATTTTTTCAATTTCATTTACATAAGGAACCACGTGGTTTTTGGTTCTAGATTCGCCAATAATATGTGTGTTCGATAAAGTCGTTAAAGATTTTAAAACATTTAAATTTATATAAAATAATTTATCTAAAATACGCTATTGATTTTAAGACAAGGTAATTTAGTCAATTTGTAATATTATAAAATAGTTTTTTGTTAAATGTTCTAAATTATAATATGACCTCGAATTAATTTGAACTAAAATAGATTGTTTGATATGACTCAATCATCAACTATCGAACAACCTAAATGACAATTTTAAATGATAGTATCATCATTTTATTAAAAAAAATAAGAATAATATTGGATCTTTATATTATTATTTGTGTTATGTTTTTTTTATCTTGCGTTCTAACCTAACACAACATATTTGTAGAGATTGGTAAATTGTCTATTTTAAATTTATTATTGGGTAAATACCACAAAAGTCACTAAGTTTATACGAAAATTCGATTTTGATACTGTGTTATTTTTCATCTCAAATTGGACACCGTGTTTCCAATTTTTTATAATTTTGACCACTTGACCGGTCTACCCAGTTATCAGCTGACGTGACATGACGACGTGTCAGTTTTTGATGACGAGACATGTTGGCATGACATGCTAACGTGTCAAAATTGAAAAAAAAATACACAAAAGACACTGAATTTTCACTTTTTTCAATTTTGACACTAAGTTCTAAAAATAATTCAATTGTGACACTTCATTTTTTTTGTTCCAAATCGAACATTATTTTTCCAATTTTGCTCAATATTGATCATTCTCCATTTGAAACTGCATAAATAATATTTTTTTTACATTTGAAAACGTATAAATATTTTTTTCACTTAAAAACGACATTTTTGGTATATGTTTAAGGTTTTTTACATTTAAACTATAATGTTATGTATTACTTATATTATAACCGTATTTTTCATTAAATATGCAACTTTAAAATGAGTTGGAGGTGTGCAATGAACAGTCGGAAGGGGATGGTCTTATGTCATTACCGTCAGTCTTAGTCTCGGTGGTTACCAATGGGGGTAAAGGTGATGAAGCTTGATTGAGATTTTAGGGGTGGCTACGTAAGAGAGAAGGGAGAATTCGACCATGTAAAAGGGAAAGTGTTGGGTCTTTATTGGATGTGGATGGGGCCATGGGTTGTGGTATCTTTTCTTCTTTTTCTTTTTTCTCTTAAACTGAATCAAATAAAAGTAACGATAAAGAAATTAGAAAGGTTAAACAAGTCATTTCATGTGGCTTAGGGACCATCCATGTAAGTTTTAGAAACCACGGGGACCATGTTCATCAAAAAAATTAGCGGTGATTAAAGTTATAACTTTTGGTAAACCATAACGACAATTTATGTAATTTTGCCTAACTTTTAATTAATATATTTTTAATTATTTTACTTTTTTGACATAATTGCAAGAATGGTCTCTATGTTATGACACAACTCACAAGTTGGTCTAAAAAGTTTTGGATTCGTGTCAGTGGTCCAAAAGTTTGATTTTGTTGCGAGTTTTGTCCATATTTTTCGAAACCTTTTATAAATACATATTTACCCTTGGTATTTTCTCTTTTTCAAATTTTTTATTATAGAAATCAAAAAAGAAAAAGAAAAAAAATACACACCCCACCTTTTTTTTCTCTGTCTCCAACTCTCTCTCTTTCTCTTCAACATGTGAATATCTACACTTCAAGAATCGTTCCCTTCAACTCATCTCACCTGTAAATGTTGTTAGAAATAAGATCTAGATGATTTTTGAAGCTGAGGTACTCCATATCCCCACTTTCTTCCCCATAATTACATTAATCAGAGAGTTCAAATATCGGACTGGGGAAGGACACCCACATCGGGTTTTGTACCCCAAGAGATTTGGGGTTGTGCTACCTGTTGCCGGTGAACTTGATGAACCCTAAATCATGAAGGCTTAAACTCGATGAACCCTAAATCTAAAAGGTCCGGACTCGGTGGCAGAATCTAGAACTGGAGGTGTCGATTGACACATATACAAGTTGGTTTTTTTCTTCATCCCAATATCGAGATACAATTTGGGTTTTTTCTTCATCCTAACTTCTAAGATGAAGAATGGTGTCGGGAGGTATATGATTTACCTATTGTCACCCCCAAATTCAGTATACGATCTACGTGTTCATATTGGGTCATGTGTAGAAACGATTTCATCTTGATTCCTGCAAATAGTTTCTGCAAATTTCGGCGCTCTCTTACAGTGACAATAGATCTGAACAGAGAATCAACACCTTCCGGATGTAACACCCATGACTTGAGGTAATGATAATTATTTAATTTCCTTATAATTAATTGTGGACAATGAGTTTAATATTGGATTGTTGAGTTGGGCCTTAGTGAGTGGGTCGTTGTGTATTGGGCCGCCTGAATGTAACGCCCGTGTTTCTAGGCTAACCATTAGTATAATGGTGTAATAGTTAGGGTCAACAATTATAACCTACTTTGAAGTAGTAAATAGGAATTATTTGAATATTATGTGATTTTATGTACATTATACTTATTTATAAGATAAAATAAGTTAAGAATAAAAATAAGCGTCAAAATAAAATAATAGATAAGTCCAATATCTATGAAGAAAGTTTTAGTGGTCGGTACAAGGATTCCGGAGATATAAAGAATGCCGAAATCCGAGTTATAACGAATAAGTTATGATCTGTCGAAGTTTCGCGACAAAACCGGCACGACACCGGGAATCGTAAAAAGTGAGTTTATGATAAACTAAGTTTTAGCCCTAGTAATCTAAAAGAAAGTTGTAGAGTACGTCTCCACCTACGTGTGGATATAAAGAACATCGAAAACGGAGTTCGTATGCAAAAGTTATGACCTTCCGAAGATGTAGTTGTCTGAGGGCATGACACGTGGCAGAAACCCTAGCTGCCTTAAGTCACGGCGTGAAACGTGTCAGGAACACTAATCGGGGCTAGAAAACACGTGTTAAGGCTACAGGATGACTCATGGAAGTTCACGACGTGAACCTATCATGTTCACGACGTGAATGGGCCCAAAACAGCCTATAAATAGCGATCAAGACCCTTTCATTCCTTACACCTTCTACTTTCTTTCTCTCTCGTTTTCGAAGGTCGTTTCCCTTCCCGAGCCTGACAACGTCGAGCCTCTAATCGTTTTTAGTTAGATTCTATCAACTCACGCTATTAAGGTGAGTGCATATTTACTTTCATCTTACACATAGATATGAAGTATTTTATATAAATTATGTGATATGTGTGTATATTATATGTTTACCTGATATCTATGCTGGATGAACGTTTTATACATGTTTTAAATGATTTAAACTGTATATGTATTTTATATCTACAAATATGTTGGGGTAAAACATGGGTAGATAAAATAAGTTGATGAGTGATGAAATAAAATGATGAGAGGCCTCGATGTTGTTGTTGATTCAGTCATCTACCAGAGTATAGATGACGACCACAGACTTTTCTAGACAATCTAGTGGAACGCTAGCAGGCCCGCAACATGTAGGTGTTTGTGAATGATGTGTTCACAGTTGTACTTTATCCCCCTCATGGTTGCCTTACGGACATTTATCGTTGAGGAAACTCCTTAGCAGTAGTGTTCATCCCGATGATAATCCTTAGGTTAGGGTCCCTTATGATAGGTGTTTTAGGGACGTAAAGTGAGGATAACGGGAACGGGTAATCGGGCTATTGTTTCGATTGATGAAATTAATAAATTTATTTATTGTGGGTTGAAAACCTTATGTGCTCACCAGACTCCCAAGCCTGACCCACTCAGTTTTCTCATATACAGGTAGTGGAAAGAGGGCACAAGAATGATGATTTGATGAGAGATCAATGGATTATAGGCCACTAGAATAAATAGACATTATAATGCCTATGTTGTTTATGTTTATGCTTTTTGATCTGTATTAACAATGATATCCCAAGGTTTTTAATATAATACATTTCTACGGAAATGTTTTGATAAATTCTTTATCATATTTTTTGGAACAAATTCTGCAATATATTTCTTTAAAAATATACTATGATTTCAAATAAAGCATAAACAAATCGGCCTTTTTGGCCGTGAATTTGGGGATGTCACAGTTGGTACCAGATCTAGATTGATATTACGTCTAGAAGGGTAAAGTTTCCAACTTTACCCATTAAGAACCACCCCAAAGACATTAAGCTCAAACCCTAATCCTAAAAGGCTTATGTCTTAATCCAAAAACTACCAATTCTTCAAGATAAATCTCATGAACACAGATCTGGACCTTAAAGACTAAAAGGTCACGCAAAGTCTTCAACTTTACTCACATGCATGGCCAAATGAAGCTTAAAAGGCCAAAGCAAAGGCTTAAAGGATGCATGGAGCTCTTAGGACCATAAAGTTGGCACCTTTATGCCATAACAGCTCAAGAGGACCATAGATCTGAAAGGGTTATCTCAATGGGACGACCAACTCCCATCAAACACTCAATCTCGGTTAAACATGCAAAATAATTCAAAGAAGGAGATCTAAGCATAAACTAAGCAAGGTTGAGACTTTATACCAGAAATGTGTCGAAAATGAAGCAAGGATTCGAGATCTAGCAGCTCCTTCTTGTATCACCAAGCTTCCCTTTCTTCCAATAGCTTCAAACACAGACAAAAAACACTCAAAATAGCTCACAAACACTCAAAAGTGCCTTAGGGTTTCGAGGTTAGGGTTTAGGACAATGAAGGCTGGAAATAAGGCCAACTTGTGGGGTTTAAGTCGTTTAAATAGGGTGCAAAACCCCGTAATTAGGGTTTCATTTCTTCCAGCCAACTCGTCGAGTCGAGACCTCCCAACTCGTCGAGTTGGTCACTTAAAATACGCGGTTCATAACATTTCAACACGACGAGTTCGGGGCCACCAACTCGTGGAGTTGTTCTATAAAATTGAATAATTTATAAGTTTAAATATATACCAGGAACCAGGCGTTACAGACGAGCACGGTGACGATTTTCTATGAGAGAAGCCACAAGATCTTAAAATGATGATGGTGATTCTGATTTCTAATCGGGAATGAGTTTTCTTATAGAGTCTTGAGATGTTGTTTGAATAGATAAGAGATGGGTCTAAGTAGTTTGCAATATACAATAACTCTAATGAGTTTAGATTCGAGATGGGGTTTTGAGGGGAGATGGTCAGAGGTGAGGGGTGTAACAGTAGTCGGAGGTGAGTTGTTGATCTTGAGGGATGTTGACAGTCCAAAACACCAAGGGGGAGGGGGGAGGGAGAGAGATTTTATTCTTGTTTTATTTTTAATTGTTGTAATAAAAGAAAAATAAAATAATAAGGGGCAAATCCATCATTATAAAAAATTTTAAAACACTATGGACCAAACACGCAACAAAATCAAACTTTTGGACCAATGGAGTGGGTCCAAACTTTTTTGGACCAACCTTGCGAGTTGTGACATAACACAAAGATCATTCTTGCAATTTTGTCTACCTTTTTGTAACTATTATATCTTTTATTCTTAAATTTATAACTATATTTAAAAATATAATGACAATGATGTGGAGATTCATTAACTTTGTAGGGTTTAAGACTACTCGCTATGGGTGGGTGTTATAGCACCCAAAACTTGTCACCTCGCATGCCAACACAACACTATTATGTTATAACATGAAGTGGAGGTGGTGTTCCATGTTGAGAGAGAGAGAGAGAGATTTGATTGGTTGAAAATGATGTTGCATCTCGTTGTCGTTACCACGCCTCTTACTATAACATGAGGGTAGGACGGTGTTCTACATGTTATAACTAGGTTATGGGGCTGTCACATCGGCCATAATGACGTTATGGTGTCACATGTCCGGCATTCTAATGAAGTGTGAATGTTAAAGAGTAAATATGAATAGAAAATGATATATATTGATATGACAGTGATTAATCGATTCCAATGGACTCTTACATCATATATTCTTCATATATAAAACAAAATGGTTTTTAACACTTATATAAACACGCTCTTTGGCTTTTTTTTAATAGTTTTTATACTCTTCTTGATTTCTTCATTTTTTTATGACTAGCTATAGTTGGTTTACGTGAGTGTTTTTATTCTCTTGTTTTCTTATTAGATAATAATTAAAATTAGCCTTTTTATATCCAACATTTAACCTTATACAACAAAAACTAATCACCCTACCACTGGCGGATTTAGTTGGTTGGGAGGGGTAGCACGTGCTACCCCTCATTTCATCCATAGAATGTTAAAATTAGGGCCTAAAATTATTAGAACTTTTTTTATTAACGCAACTCCAAACAAAAAAATGGCGCATCAGTAGCCCAATCAATTAGCCCATATATTACTTGTATTTTTGGGTGATATTTTTCTTTATATATTACATTTATTTATTCAATTAAAAATAACAGTAACAAATCATTAAAAACAATTAGCCGTTTTGTCAATTTGTCATTATAATGATATATTTGGTATACGTATATTGATTGGTTGATATAGCTTAAGTAGATACGATAGTCTTGATTTTTTATTTATATACGAAAGCCTATGTTAATATCATTTTTCTAAAAAAATATATGTTTTCTATATAACAAGTCAAATAGGTGACATAAAAGCAATAATTAAAATGGAAACAAAAGATGCATTTTTAATGTATGCTACCTCTTCGATTGCTCAACTAAAATTAAATAATCGTATCCTGATACTCTAGTTATTCATAAGTAGTAAAATTGTCAGGACAAAAAGTGTTTGAGATCAAACAACATTACATGACCCAATTTGTAATTTTATGAAAAAAAATACTAGATTTAACTTGTTGCTTGACCGGTCAATCCATACATTCAACCGTAACAGTTTGAAGATGTTTTTTTCGTAATAAAATGGATGATAATTTTATGAACGATATAATGATTTGTAGTGTAGAATAAAAAAATACTTATGGATGTTACGATTCAAAAAATGATGTATCACTTTCAAAAAATGAGTAAACAAAGATGTCAACATTAAAATGTAATATATACCCTAGTTTGTTATATCTAATGAAATCATAATTTTTTTTATCTAATTATCTTTTATATCAAGAAAATGTTTCGGTACTGCCCCTAACAAAAATTTCTGGGTCCGCCCCTGCACCCTACTATATCAATTTGTCACGAAAAATCCACATCCGATACCACAAATCAAATATAAAATTTGCTTTTGGATTTGGACCTGACCAAAAACAATAAGCAAATTTAATTGGCTAAATTATTATTTTTCTTAAAGCGCCTAATAGAAAATGATATAAAATATGTTTGTCATGTTTGTCTTTATGGATTGAATAAAGTTGCTGAGAATAAATGACTAATTTATCTATAAAATTTAAAAATATTTATTAAATTTATCATGAAAGAAATCAAGACGAAAAAAAAACAAATAGAGAAAAGACTAAGGCTATGTTTGGCGTAGTAGCTGAAAAGCTAGCTGATAGCTGAAAAGCTAGTTGTTAAATAAAAAGCTAGCTGATAGCTGAAAAGCTGGCTGTTAAATAAAAAGCTAGCTGATAGCTGAAAAGCTAGCTGATAAAAAATAACGTTTGGTAAACGAGTTGAAAAGCTAGTTGAAATATATAAAATTACATAAAAGGACATGTAAGAGTATGTGTTTCTATAATTAATTAAGGGGTGTATTTGGAAAATTTTAAAAAAGCTCCTAAAAAGCTAGTCTAATAGCTTTTTAAAAAGCTAGCTTATAAGCTACTTTTTGGCTTACCAAACACAACAACATAAAAAAGCTCGAAAAATAAGGTAGTTTATCAGCTAGCTGTGGCGCGCCAAACACAGCCTAATATCTTAATTGATTAAGACAAATATAACTATCCCATTAAGTGATTAACACATTAAAGAACATAAGATGAGATCGATCACTCAAATCACCAAATCGCAACCTCCGTAAACCCATCTTCAGTAGCCGAAGCCCTAAACATACCCGTCGTATTAAAAGGCATAGCAACTTCACCACCACCAGACACCGCCACCAAGCCGGTGGTTCCCTTCGGTGTAGCCTCATGTACAACATACGCCGCCGCCTCTTTCAGACCTAAACCTTTATACTCCATAACCGCCGCCACATCTCTAGCCACCGTGTCCCGGATTATGGCTTCACCTCTACCGGTTGCAGAAACGGCACACAACTTATTCGCGTAAGTCCCTGCACCGATGATGGGCGTATCTCCGATCCTTCCCGCCATTTTGTTGACCAGACCGCCGGTTGAAGTGGCGGCGGCTAGGTTGCCGAGATCGTCCACCGCCACACATCCGACGGTTCCAAGTTTGCTATATCCGTCAGGAACCTTCTCATCTGGTGTTTTAATAGGTTGTGTATAGTCTTGCTACAAGAAATTGTTTTCAATTTAAAATAAAATAAATGGAGTAGCAACATACTTTTATTTGTTTGAATTTAAATCAAATAATTGAAAGTACTTTGTATGTTATTTGAATTTAAATCAAGTGAAGAAGTGAGAGGAAATGAGCATACTTGAACTCTGTTGGCTTCTTTTGCTTGCTTTAATCTCTGGATGTTTTCAGGAGTGATGAAATGACTCCTATCTACAGTTTTGAGCCCCTAACAAAAGTAATTTTGTACAAAAGATATAAAATCAGATAAAAACTGTGGGATTCGAATCATTTTGGAGTGTGTCATATGATGATGGTGAACATAAAGATACATTAAAAAAATGAAAGAGAAGAAAGGAAATATATGTGAAAAATGAGTGAGTTGCCTGTTCTCTTGCAAAGGACTCTGCTCCATCAAAAGCAAGATAAATATGAGGAGTTTTTTCCATGACTTTTCTGGCTAAAGAGATGGGATTGACAACTGTTGTGACACCAGAAACTGCACCACATCTTTTTGAAATTCCATCCATGATGCAAGCTTCCATCTCAACTGTTCCATTGGTGGTTAGAACAGATCCTTTACCAGCATTGAAGTCTGGACAGTTTTCCAGTTCACATACCTACAAATTAACACTCAACAAGTTAAGAAATGAAGAAATCATGGGGATATTTTAATGTGCAAACTTGTCACAATCAAGTAACACAACAAAACAAGGTATCTACCAACTATCATTGGAATCAACTACAAAGTACTGTTAAAATAATGAATAATCAGTTAGATGTCTCAGTCGTTCCTAGCATAGAGTTAGAATTTCAATAATTTCTAAATTTATTCAATTGAACTGGACTAGATTCAAGGTAATCATATTCTAAACAAGAGCTCGGATAAAGGTTGAGAAAAGATCATAGAAATGATATGAACATGGATGGACTGTTTACAGCCATAATTGTGAAGTTAGAGGCGTGATTGACATGAGAATAGTTCGTGTAAATGTGTAATCTTCTCAGAATCAAGACAACAAAACAAGCTAATTATTAATTATCATTGCTATAAACAACAGAGTACTGTTAATGAAAAAAATCTATTCAGACATCTCAGGATCATCTCTCCTCTGCGAAGTGAAAATTAATTAAATCCAACAGAAACATAGAATTGGCATCATCGAATAGCTAGCGTGAGGAGAAGCTCAGAAGAGATCATAGAGATGATATGAACATAACATAAACTGCTTAGAGCAACAATTATGCAACTGGAAGAGTAATTTAAATGAAGTGAAGGAGAATACCACAAGTTCAACGACATCTAAGGGAGAACATTTGGCATTAAGAGCGGAGACACCGATCTGAAGTATACGGCGGAGGGCAGCTTCTCGAGGTTCACGGCGTTCAGCTGGTAAATCGACCGGAATATCGCCGGCTCCGCCGTGCAAAGCTATTGCCCATCCCATGATTTACGTTTTCGGTTTTCCTTCTACTGCAACTGCAACTTGAAAGTTGAAACCCCCCCGCGGTGCCTCTTCCCTTTTTTATATTATTTTTGGATCGTTAATTCGAGTAATTCATCATTTATTTTTATTTTTTTAGAAATGATTCAGTATTTTTATATTTTAGAACGATTTGAAGAATACAATTTGTAATTACACATATTTTTATTAAAAAATAATATAAAATATCAACTCCATAACTGACTCTTACAGAAACCTAGTAATAACATAAATAAATAACTAATTTTTTAGGAAAAAATTAACAAATTAGGTTAATCCCACGGACCAATTTCCAAAAAATAGTTTAAATTAGCAAAATGCCAAAAGTTGATATTATCTAAAGCGTTCATTGTAAAAATCAGGTTCTTTGAACTTTCATATTATCCAAAGCCTTTATACGAACTCCGTTTAACCCGAATATTTTTTTCATTGTTTTCTTAGTAACAAATCACACATATCACATTTCAAATTTAGATGTTAGAAAATCATATTTTTTTAGCCTCTAAAGTAGACTACTCGGTGAAAAAATAAACAATGTCCCAACTTTAAACCTTCATAACTTTCACGTACTAACTCCATTTGAGCTAAAAAAATCTATTGTCTTCTCTGTAAAAAGAGTTATTTATGAACATGTCATACTCGTTATTTAGATATCGGGAAGTCTTACTTCTTTAGCTCCAAAATAGGATACTTGATGATTTTTGAAGTTTTCCAAAGATTATCATTATCATGGATTGTCACTTCATATGAACTTCAAGGAAATGACTTTTTGACATATTGTCATAGATTGTCATTCCAGCAGTGAAGTGTTATAGATCTATCTGACACTTTAACGAAATGCTGACATTTTGACTATTTATTATGAGTTGCCACTTGGTAGCGACTTTATTAAGCTTGAATTATATAGAATGTTGTAATTTTGTATGGCATTGCTTCATTGTTGAAGTATATCTAAATGCATACAAGAAGATAATAATTATTGTTATGTGATCCTCCAAATGGCAGATACATGAGGAAGTGGTGTTCGTTAGATCATTATTGATGGATGAACATCAAGTCAGTCGGTCTTGTAACAACGTTCGTATGCCATCACAAGGGGAAGGGGTGAAAAGATAAACTTGTAGCCAATTACTAGCATATATGTTAAAGATTGTTTCATCAAGTAAGGTTTATTGTCATACGTTTCATTTAAATAAATAATTGTTGTTTGTAGTATTGTTTTATAGTTTGAGTTCAATATATTAAAATAATGTTTACCATAAATATATTAAAAACACAAACATATTATATATTGAAACCTAGATTATTAATATTACAAAGTTTTAACCTTAAGGGAATGACACAAGTTAAGGCATGTTGAAGTTGTTTAAATACTTACATAGTTTTCACCATGTCAATCTCAAAGTGAAGATCAAACAATTCGATGGAACTTCCAAGTAATCGCACGACATTGTCAACCAATGCAATTGTAACACCTGTGTTTCAGATTGGTTAAGCTTCCTTTTATCAGGGACCAAATATGAAGTTTTGGAGGAAATCATGTACCACGACGTTGCCAAGGAGGGTCACGGCGTGGCAATTATTTAATGGATCGCATGTGTTATTAGATCGCCACGGCGTGGCAGCTGTTCTGGCCCAAGCCTATGATTCTTTTAGTGTTTGCTTCGTATTTAAACCCCTCTAAGTCATTTTTAGGGTTCTGTATCAGCCTCCATCACCCTCAAGTTTCAGAAACCCTAACCCTAACCCACCTTGCAAGTGTGAGCTCATTTTAGGAGTTTTTGGTTACTTTTGAAGGGAGAAGAAGCTTTGGGAAGGATTGTGGTGCATCTTGACCAACTTGAGGATCTCTCTTGGACATCTCGGAATCTTGGTGAGTGTTCAAGATACTAGCTTTATGCTTCTATGTTTATGAATCTAAGGTTTTGTCCCTTTTTCTTCTTGTTGGGCTAATTGGAATGGTAGGATTCAATAAAGTTGGCAACTTTATGAATCTTAGAGGTCCATTTGGTATCATATCTTGTAGTTTTGGAGTTTCATGGTGTTTTGGAACTCATGTTTGAGTGTAACATCCGGAATCTAGAAGGTCAATTATGGAATAAAACATCATTTCAAAAGGCCAACTCGTCGAGTTGAGGGTAGAAACTCGACGTGTTGGAAGTATAAGTCGCACGTGTTTTTGAAGACCAACTCGATGAGTTGGAGAGGACCAACTCGACGAGTTGGACGTGGATTTGGAAACCCTAATTTTGGATTTTTGCACCCTATTTAAACAACTTAAACCCCATGTGTTGGCCTCATTTCCATCCACCATTGTCCTAAACCCTAACCTCGAAACCCTAAGGCATTTTTTAGTGTTGTAAGCCATTTTGAGTGCTTTTGTGGTGTGTTTGGAGCCATTGGAAGGAAGAGAAGCTTGGTGAGAGTTGGTGATTGTTAGGTGCATTTCATGCATCCATTTTGTAGTTTTACTCCATAAAAGTGCATTGCATATAGGCTTAAACTCATGCATTTTGCATGTTTTTTGGGATTTTTCATGAGGCAATTTCATTCACACGCTTTTGTGATATTTCAGGGACTTTTGGAGGTAGGATCTTACTTGAAGAGATGTAGATGAAGTTTCAGGACTTGCGGAGCACCGAGGAGGAAGATATCAAAGAAATGAAGATTTTGGTCATTCAGAGGTTTACACGGCCGTGTAAATGGAAGCCTTGTGTTTACACGGGCCGTGTAAACGCATACTCTTGAGCATTGTACTTTGAAGGCCTGACCAAATTGTGCAACGTACTTTTTGTGTTTACACGGCCGTGTAAAGTTTACCTTTGTTTTTACGCGGGCCGTGAAACGTGGTTGTAACATCCCGAAATTTAAGTACATCTATTGAACCCTTTCTATTTACCAAACTGTCAAGTTTAGCCCCTAAGTGAAAAGTGTTGCAAACGAGTACGCTGGGCGTACTGAAGAGTACGCTGCGCGTACTCATGCGCTTATTATGGACGCAGACTCAATTAGGTATGCTGGGCGTACCAAAGTTACGCTGGGCGTAACTGGCTCAGATGCAAAACCCTAAATGAGACTTGAGGACTATAAAAGGAATGATATGGTCCTTACCCCAGCCACCATATTACAGAGAGTGAAACCCTAAGAGAGCAAAAACCCGTTATAAGCTTATGTGTGTGTTCTTAAGCTTGAAAGTGTCATTTTGTGATGGTGAAGAAGAAGAGGAGGCCATGGTGGAAGCTAGAAGTTAGAGGGCAAGCTTAGATCCGAGTTCTATAGAGGTTGGAGCTTCACCTGGAGGTAAAAAGCTCAAAGCTTTCCTTGTCATCTTTTGATTTGTGCTTTATGGACCCATTTTTAGGGTTTTTGGTCCCAAGGTGGAGACTTTATGAGCAAAGGGTCTCCATAAGCTTAGGTCTGCCCTATTCCAGTGTAATATGTGTTGTAGGTTCATAAAAATCCAATCTTGGACGTTGAGATTAAGTCATGCATGAGATTAGGGCTTAATGGGAAAAGAGGATATATGTTTGAAGTGATTGGTGACCTTTACAGCCATGCAAGGGCTTAAAGGTTCCGACTTTATGACTTAAGGGGCAGTAGGGAGCTTAGATCTGAGTTATGAGCCTAGGTCTTAATCTTTTCAGACCAAAAATGAAGAAAGTAGGAAACTGGGACTTACGCTGGGCGTAATCCCAGTACGCGCCGCGTAAGGGTTTGAGACCCCGATTCTGGATCGCCGGAGTACGCCCCGCGTACAAGAGCCGGTACGCGCCGCGTACTGCCCCCTGTTGACTTTTGTTGACTTTTAGGGATTTAGTCAACATTTGGACTTTTTGGGTCAAGGAGGGGTAAAATGGTCTTTTACTCTTCTGTGGGATTGTAGAAAGGGATTTAATCTAGCCTTTGAGAGCCATTATTTATTTGAGGATATTGTTTATGTGATTAGGCGGGGGCTAGATCCGTATATCCGTGTGCGAGATTATCCGAGTTACCCGAGGTGAGTATTCTCACTATACATTACCTAGAGTGGTATTTATGTGTAGACCGGAGGGTCTTGTATGCTATGTGTATATATGAGATTATGTGCATTGTGTTATATGTATGCTATGTGTTGAACAGACCGGGCCGGAGGGCCCAACGATATAGACCGGGTCGGAGGACCCAACGATATAGACCGGACCGAAGGGTCCAACGACACAGACTGGACCGCAGGGTCCGACGAGCTATGACCGGACCAGAGGGTCCAACGAGCTACGGGACTGGAGGGTCCCGCTGAGACACATCGACCGGAGGGTCGTACTGTAGCCTCGAGTGGCGTATGTGTTGTACGTGGTATTTTGGGGAACTCACTAAGCATTTATGCTTACCGTGTTATGTGAGATGTGTTTCAAGTACCAGCGAGAGTCGCGGGAAGGCGCCAGCATGATTTGTACACACTGGCAGAAGATTAAGTGTTGAGATTCTGGGATATGTTTTATGGTGATGACATTGATATATGAGATTTTGAGAATATTATATGAGTTTTATTATGTTTGAAAAATGAAAAATTGTTTTAAAAATTTACGTCGTTACAAGTTGGTATCAGAGCCTTGGTTTGAGGGATTCGGATGCACCTTCGGGCGTATCTGAACTCAAACTGAGGATTTGAGGAAATTTTCATAAAAGAAACAATTTTTCTAAAAGAGAAAGATTTTTGAGAAAATCAGAACGGAGCAGTGTGTACGATCAGCCAGCGCCCGAACGGTGATTTCCCAAAATACCCTTACATTATGTGCTATGAGATATTATGTGATATGCTATGCATGCTAGAGATAGGCTAGGTATTTCATATTTTAGGACTAGAGTGGCCTGATCTGTGATGCCTTAGCCTAGGAGTTGCTGTTATATGCGATGTGCCTTCGAGTATGTGCTGAGTATGAGTATCCAGCAGGAATCCTTTTAGAGAGGGATCTGAGTAGGGGAGT